TTCAACGTCGTAGATGATTCCTTCCTTTGCAGCATTGCCTTTCACGTTCACCATACACAGCTTTCCTCTCCAACCCACTGCTTCAATCGCTTCCCTACTAAACTTCCCATCCTTAAGACCGCCCATTTTCTCCCATTTCCATCCACTTTTAGTACCCTTGTCTTTATCATGATGGTGGTTACAGCTGTAGTGGGCGCAGTAACAATAGCTGTTGTTACTTTTCAGGTCCCACTTCTCAATCGATCGCGCTACCTCTTGGTTGTAGTGGGAACCAATCCCACTCGCAACGTAAACAACGCCGCGTGACGCACCAGCAGCACACCACCGTCGCGGTGTGGCGAGTGGGGGACCGTAAGTCCATTTTCGGCTGAGCGGCTTGAAAACAAGGGGCCGAGATAAGGCCGGCAATAGATGGTCAGTGGTTGCAGCAAGGAGAACGAATTTGCCAGAAACGCTCACCGATTGGATCGGAAGGTGACGGGAGATGAAAGAAGGGTGACGAAGGAGGAGACGAAGAGGCGGTTCAAGCGGTGGAGGAGGAAGTAAGTGCCATTTGGATGAAATCGGATCGAAGTTGGCGAATTCAACAGAATCCTCATATTGATTTGTTTGCTCCTTAGATTGCGAAGGTTTCAATAACGAATAGATAGATAAAAAGGGGGGGAAAGAAGGAGAATAAAGGAGCCGGCGCCAAGATTGACAAACGGAGTAAAGAGTCAAAGGTTGTTGTACAAGAGAGAGGCAAATTTGAGCTATATCATCAGGAATTCCAGGGATCAAGGACTGATGATAATGATTCTTTCGGCGTTTAATGGCAGCTCCGGCGGCGGCGATGGTGGCGGAGTTGTTCATTTGAGGGCGAAAAGAGTAGGGGACGTGTAAGAGTGGGATAAGAAGTTGAAGATTTAGAGTTTGAAGACTTTGGACTTTACGCCATTACTTTAATGGACTAAAAAGTTATGTTGTCGGAAGTGAGTAACGAGATAGAGAGAGAAGGATCAGAATTAAAAGGCAAAAGTTGGATAGAAGTTAGGAGGAACATAGACATTACCCATCTTATCCTTTCTTTTTGTTTTTCTAATTGAAGAAGGTTTCCACTAGTAGTATTAAATTGGGACGGCCTTAGTGGCATAAATTAAATAAGAACCCACACGGGATCTTATTGCATGTGGAATTTTCTTCCAAACTAGTCATGATGTTGAGAATATTAATGTTTTCTATTCAAGTTTAGAAACTTTTTATTTCGTCCACAAAGATTTACTCCTCTTCATTTTGTTCCTAAACCTTATACTTGCACCAATTCTAGTCCCGATCTATAAAGATGTGGGTTTTTTCGGGTTTGGATAAAAAATAGAGTATTAAGATTTGTTCTTTCGATGGAGATATTATAAGAGTAAGTAGAATAATAATCATTAAACTGATTGCTCTTACTCTTATCACTCATTAACTTCTACTCCCTCCGGTTCACAATAAGTTGACCAATTTGCCTTTGGCACACCTATTAAGGAAATATAAAACTCTAGATAAAAATAGTTAGTATGACTAAATTACCCTTAATTAAATATTGCAGTATAGTTAATGTGAGGAGTAAAATTTTTTTTAGTGATACGTACATAAGGATAATTTTAAAAAAACAAATTGAATTTTTTATTAATTATATAAATAGACACTTATTTTGATCAAAATAAAAGTTAAATTAACCACTTATTATGGACCGAAGGAAGTAGTATAAATGAAAGGGAGCACGCACTCCCAAGCAAGGATGAATGTCAAAGAGAAGATGCGCAAGCTATAGGGTAAACCAAATTATTCCAAATTGTGAGTTCAATTTTAAATTGGTTTCATTTGACATCATGATTAGGAACCTTTGCTACATTTTACGGATATCTTGATTATTATTGATGATCTATAAATTTGAAAACATTAAATATGTTTATTTTAGTTGGCTAAAACATAACAAGGTTTGCAAGGGAAGGGGACAAATCAGATCTTAAGTTTAAGTCAATTCTAGCCAAGTTCAATTCAACTCGATCACCAGTTTATTTATCCACAAAGCAAACTAGATTAACTTGACAAATTGATTGAATGTATACCCCTATTACGCTCGGCAGTTAATGACAGGTTTACCTATTACAATTGGTAGTTAGTAACAGGTGTCGCACCTCCTTTTCGCCGCGCCCGCAGGGCGCGTGGGGAGTTTTCTCCAATTGAAG